GCCTCCCAGAGAGCTAGGATTACAGGCGTGAGCCACCACGCCCGGCGAATTGGTATAAATCTTTTTGAAGAGCTATTTGACCATATTATATTTTAAATGTACATATTTGCCCAGAAATTCCACATATATATATACACATACATATACATACACACACATATACATATATACACATATATATATTTGGTAATGGCAAAACAAACCATCAAACCAGAAAGAACCATAATGGTTCTAGCTGGGACTAGCTGGTAAATTTTAGCAAATCCATACAATGGATTCTGATAGGCCTAATGTGGACCCTGTGTTCACCCTTGCAGTCATTCGGGCACGGGCGATAGAGAATTGGGAGAGTAGGGAGCAGCTGAAAAACAAGAAGGGATCACGACTAACAACAGGAGGGTTTTGCGTTTGGCAGTTTAACCAGCTTCACTAAAACACATCGGTCAGGGAAGATCAGTTTCCCAAAGAAAAGGGAGAGTGATATTAACCCAAGAAGTGTATAAGGGGTACTGAGTATGCAAAAAGAACAGCTGTTCATGACAGTACTGGCTGAAGGTCCCATGCAGTTATCTGTCTTGTTTTCATAGTGGTAGTGACAGTTGTTCCACATTTGCTGAGGGGCACTGAGGGCCTGGTGGGGATGGGCTCCCAGATTTCATTGAAGAGAAATGTCTCAGTCTATCTCAGAAGATGACTACCACGAGGTCTTCCGAGGAAGCAACAGCAATTTGGGCACTGCTTAAGTGCCCAAATGAAGTGAAGATTTGCTTCTGTTCTTTATGTAACATAAGGGAGCGCAGCTCAGCATGGGGCTGGCGCATTCCTTTCCAAGATAGCTCACACATGGCTGGCAATTTGGTGCTGTCAACTGAGAGCTCAGCCAGTGCTGAAAGCCACAGGCCTTAGTTCCTTTCCAGAAAGTCCTTCCCTAGTGCATGGGATTCAGTTCCAAGAGTGGGGTCTCAAGAAACAGGATGTGGAAATTGCCAGTTTCTTAAGACCTGGGCGTGGAAAGTAGCCTAGCATCACCTCAGCTGTATTCTATTGGTCAGAAGCCTAGATTCAAGGGAAGGGGCATGGACTCCACTTCTCAAAGGGAGAAGTGATAAACAATTTGGGGGCCATGTTTTAAAATTGCCACACCAGGTTCAAAGAAAACTATTTCAATTACCCATGGATTCTCCAAAAAGCCTTAAGAGTTTAATGTTGAATATACGTTATGTATGACTGGCTAGTTCACTGTGTGTAATGTCTAGCATCACGTTACATTGCCACCTACAACTTAGTTAAACCAAGATTGTATCATATTCCACATCAGAATTTCCTGACCTCTAACCCTCAGTCTGTTTTTGGTCAAAATTAGCTCCTAGGCCGGGCGCGGTGGCTCACGCCTGTAATCCTAGCTCTCTGGGAGGCCGAGGCGGGCGGATTGTTTGAGCTCAGGAGTTCGAGACCAGCCTGAGCAAGAGCGAGACCCCGTCTCTACTAAAATTAGAAAGAAATTAATCAGCCAACTAAAAATATATAGAAAAAATTAGCCAGGCATGGTGGCGCGTGCCTGTAGTCCCAGCTACTAGGGAGGCTGAGGCAGAAGGATCACTTGAGCCCAGGAGTTTGAGGTTGCTGTGAGCTAGGCTGACGCCACGGCACTCACTCTAGCACGGGCAAAAGAGTGAGACTCTGTCTCAAAAAAAAAAAAAAAAATCTTAAATGGATCTCAAGGACATTAGTCTGGGTGAAAAAAACTAATCCCAAAGGTTACATACTATATGATTCCATTTATATAACATTTTAGAAATAACACAAGTATAGCCCTGGAGAACAGATTAGTGATCGCCAGAGAATAAGGAGGAGGAGGAGTTGATTCAACTATAGAAGTGTAGTACTATAAAGGGATAACACTATAAAAGGGTAGCACACAAGCACACAAACTAGTGCATGTAAAAAATGGTGAAATCTGAGCAAGACCTGTAGTCTAGTTAATAATACTTTATAGATGTCAACTTCCTGGTTTTGATATTGTACTATAGTTACTTAAGATGTTACCATTGGGGAAAGCGGGGTGAAGGGTACATTACTCCGCTATATTTGCAATTTCCTGTGAATCTATCATTCTTTCAAAATAAAGAGTTAAAAAAATCAAACAGAAGAAATACAAACTCATTATTTTCACATCTTTGGGGGGAAAAACACTTATTGACTATGCATGGCTTTACAGGTTACTTCCTTTAACTCTCACAACTCTCTGAAATAAATGTTATGAACTCTATTTTATATTTATCAAAATTGGGGCTTAGGTTAAGCAATTTGTCAAAGGCACAACTGCTGGTAGAGCAGGGTTTGAATCCAGAACAAGCTAACCACCACTCATGGGTCTTTTGGTTGCATCTTGATTGGTCTTACTTAAATGACACTGTTCTTTCCTGTAAGCTATTCTCTTTAACAAAAATTAGAGGACTTTACAGTTGCCATTTTCTATTGTTCAAAAAAATTTAATCAGACTCAAATTCCTGTGGAGGAAATGGGTAGAAGAATGAGCTGTGGAAGGAAGTATAAATGTAAGAGCAACCTACAGAATAACAATCATTAAGGCAAATTTTAACGCAGTTTTTAAAATAGAGAAAAAATGGGTTAACATTACCGCTATAACGTTAGCAGTGATGTCTGACAACTACTACACAATCTGGGATTCAATAAAACTCTTGGAAAGCCTGTCTCTTGGGCAGCACTTTAATATTATATCTGATTTCTCAGCATTTCCAGCTCCAAGAGTTTACAATACTTTGCCAAGAACCCTAAGAAAGGAGAGCCACTTAAAATGCATCAATGATGATGATGCCAGCTGAGCGGTGGCTTACAAGACCTTTTATAGCAAGCACAAAACTAGAGGGATGTAATGAGTCTTAGAATTTATCCAACCAGCTAATGTAACTAGCGTTGGTTACCAAGTTCCCCTAGCTTCTTCCAGCACTTTCAAAAAAAGGACTGCAGAGAAACCTACCATCTCTTGAGCAATTTCATTCCTTCCGTAAATATACGTAGGCACTGCAAGGCACGCGGTTCTCCAGTTAGCCAGGCATTTTTCTACCCTTTCTTAACCCTCAGGTAACATTTGACATTAAGCAGGCTTCCAGATTAATCTGTCTTGGGGAGGTCTTGTTACCAGATGGTGACATTCTGTCTCTGAGTAAAGAATCTTATGTTAAGTTCCTCAAATTGTTGATGTACTGATCAATGTACAACGTGAAGATATTAAATAAGATGGATTTTAAAATCAGCTGAAGCATGAAGTCTACAGATTGTATTGCACAAAGACATCATTAGCCTGGATGATGTAATCTGTAGCCAATGATTGTAACTTCTGTCTTGTACCCGCCAATGAAAAGAGGGCAACTCTGGCATAAGGATTATCTCCCCTCCTTCTTCTAAATTTTCCTATAAAAACCTTTCACCTGTGACAGACTCCGGAACAGGCCCAACTCTGTTGATTATTACAGCTGGTTTTCAGTAAACCTTTATCAAATTATTTCTGCCTCAACAGCCTTAATTTTAGGGGGCACCTTTTGGGGGCACAAAATGACCTTGGCCTTGCTTCCTGATACAAAAGCGTTGTAAATCTCAATCCTTCTTCCCGTTTCTACCCGGCGCACGAAAGCAGCAGGATCACACAATTCCTAGTCTAGAGCATGGGCACTGCTCTTCACCAGCACAACCACCAAATCTAGCCACTGTGGCTTCAGAAGCCGCACGAAATAGTATCTCGACTGCCAGCGCAAGCCTGGCGCTGCCCGCTGTCACGTGGCCGCTCGCGCCGAATGACAAAGGCCCACGCTTTCCAGACGGCCGCATGCGCTCATAGAGCCAGAGTTCGCGGGGCGCCCCGCCCCCGCCGCACGGTGCACCGGCGTTAAGCCTCCCCAAAGGTCCCGACAGCTAGAATTGCAGGTTCCCAGCAAGCGTTGTTTCCGAACTCGGCCTCGGGAGCCTGTCCTGATTGGCTTGCTATGGAGGCGGGGAAGGGATCTATTTGAGACCGGGACCACTTCCTGAAGTGTGGGGCAGGAAGTTATCCGGTACCTCTGGAGTCCTGTGAAGAAAGTGCTTTCTGCCGCATTGGTAGCGGCGAGAGCTGGAGGTGGTTGGGGAGGTGGGCCGATCGGTCTCTGTGGCTGGGAGCCGATTTCGACCTCAGCACCACGGCCCCCTCCTCCAGCTTCAAGCCCGGCACGGCTGCCCGGGGGGCTCCTTCAGGCTCCTTGACGCCGCTACAAGGGGCACCTACCCAGGCATCGCCTGGGCCTCCAGCCAGGGGACTGGCTCCCGACTTCAGCACTTTGGGCTGCAGTAAGAAGTGCCCTTATCGCCCTTCCCCTTGACCCTCTCCCTGAGCCACCGAAACCCTGGTCCAGAGCGACAGCCTTGGACCTGGGACTAGAGGAAGCCAAAACGCTTAGCCCCGGTCCCCCACAGACGGGGCTCTGCATTATCTCTGATATGTCACCCACCGTCTCCCATAAGGACAACAGTCGGCAACGGCGGCCAGGGACTTTCAACCACTCTCTGGATTTGAAGAGCGGTCCTCTGCCGCCCGGCAGCTGGGATGACAGTCATCCGGACTTTGTGGGCGGGGAAGGGGACAGAGAAGCTCTTCTGAGGGATACCGGCACTGGTGACTTCTCGAAAACCCCACGGAGCTGCCGAGCCGAACTAAGCAGCATTTTGCTACTGCTCTTTCTTTACGTGCTTCAGGGCATTCCCTTGGGCTTGGCGGGAAGCATCCCACTCATTTTGCAGAGCAAAAATGTTAGCTATACAGACCAAGCTTTCTTCAGTTTTGTCTTTTGGCCCTTCAGTCTGAAATTGCTCTGGGCCCCATTGGTTGATGCGGTTTACTTTAAGAACTTTGGTCGTCGCAAATCTTGGCTTGTCCCTACACAGTATATACTCGGACTCTTCATGATATATTTATCTACTCAGGTGGATCTTTTGCTCGGGAATACCGATGGCAGAACACCTGATGTGGTTGCTCTCACTGTGACATTCTTTTTGTTTGAATTCCTGGCTGCCACTCAGGACATCGCTGTGGATGGTTGGGCGTTAACTATGTTATCACGGGAAAACGTGGGTTATGCTTCTACCTGCAATTCGGTGGGCCAAACAGCAGGCTACTTTTTGGGCAATGTTTTGTTTTTGGCCCTTGAATCTGCCGACTTTTGTAACAAATATTTGCGATTTCAGCCTCAACCCAGGGGAATCATTACTCTTTCAGGTAGTATATTTAAACTACTATGCTGTTAGGTTTATTTTACGTTTATGAATCCTTTTGACAGAGTGTGTGATGTTTGAGGGAAGTTCATTATTTAGTGGAAATCATTTTATGGGAGATGACTGAAGGTAAGTTCTCTGTTTTGTTAAAATGGGCTTCTTTGAAGTGTATTAAAGCCAGAATCAATGACATTGGAGCAATCATAATAGATCAGTACTCTTCAGTGAACAGGGAGAGGCAACCCATCAAATAACAAAACTCTGAGTCTAGGGATCCATCGGCACTTGCTTGAGGCATAAATGCACATTTTTGAAAAGTCTGTCCCATATTTTTCTTTTGTTCTCATTTTTCCTTTTCTCTTTTGTTCTCATTTTTCCTTTTCTCTTGTTGGATTCAGATTTCTAGCTCCAAACTTTCTGATCCATTTCTACCCCTGCTCTTATACCAAGAGTCCTCATCTAGCCTTCTGGTGAATGGAACAGAGTTAATTCATTCAAACATTATTGAGTCAGCTAAGGGACGGGATTCTAAGGGCCTCCTATGAATAAGGCAGAGTCTCATCCCCAAGGAATAGGGGAGATGAACATTTTAGGGGAGCTCAGAGTTGCCAGCCATTAACTGCTTGCGGGAGTCCCTCTTCACACTACAGATAACATTGTACTTTGTTCTTGAATGATATAGTTCCATGAGGCGGAGAAATAGCACACCATAATGCACAACATGAAGTGCAAATGTACTGAGGCAAGAAAGTAGAGAAAGGTACGGGATGTTGCCTATGGTATTCAGAGTGCCTGAGGTAGCTGTTGTGGAACTGGGTTTGGGAACTGGTGCTGAAAGAATGGTTGGGACCAAATTAGTAATATTTTATTTAATTGCTGTGGGAAGGAGTTTAAAGTTTATGCCGTAAGAAAATGGGTATAAGTTCAACTGAATTTCCATTTTGCATGAGTAAAATACACAAAGTTTTCTGAGAGCTTTTTAAATTTTTTTTTAACTTTCTTAACTAGGAAACAAGTTAAATGACCAGTATTAGTAATAACAACATCAGAAATAAAATAGAACTCTTCATTTGTTAGTGATGATGAATTTAGGTGATTCTGTTTTGAAATTTATGCAGCTAAACTTCCTCTGAGCTTCCATACTAGCTTGGAAATTCCCAGTAGGGCCAATGTCAGGGATGGGTGATGGGTGTGGTATGATGATAGGTGGTGTCACAACTGTACTACCCATGTCCTGGAATCTTGTACATTCTCACACATGCCTAACTCCATGTCCACATCCTCAAACTGCTAGTGAGCCACTATTACAGATGAAATGATGGTTATAGTACTTTGCCCTCAGTTTATTTGGTTGAAACATAATTGCTTTGTACCTAGGCAGATTTGTCTCTAAATGTTCTGGGGTTCCACTCCTGCTTTATGTATAATTCTCTGCCTAGAAATAGTTTGTGAATGCATACTATGGGCAGCTTGTTGCTTTTTATGTGTCTGCTTTTCATTTTATCCTGGGACTTCTGTTCATATCACCAAGGAGGATTAATGAGATGATGTGTTACTTAAGATGAGAAAGTCTCAGAGAAATCAAAACTTAAGAGGCTATGGAAACTAAATTGCTAATTAGGTAAATTATAGCTTTCTTTCAAGTATAATGTAAAAGCAATTGATTAAACATCATTCCAGAAAAGCTATTTTAATTGTATCTGTACTCTCTTAGCAACAACTGATCCCCAATGGATCAAAATTATGCCATTGGATTTTTATTTAGACTGACTTGTTATTTTGAATAGCTGTTGTATGGAATTTGAATTTTGTTCTCCATGACATTCTAAAAATAGCTGACTTTATAATTTAACTTTTTATATGTGTAGTGGACTGCTGTTTTTGGTTCAAACATTTTAGTTGAGAGTTAAAGAGTGCCTGTGTTTTCATTCTCCTTTTTATGACTGCACATATTACATTTATAGCCTTTTAATTTCTGGAACTTAATAATAGGATAACCAGTGGTTTTGAGGAATTTAAAGAGTGCAGAAAGAATCATATGAAGGAAATACAATTGCTTAGGTAATAAAAGAGGAGCTAAACACTGAGGCAATGTTAGAAAATCAGAGTATTAAAAGGAAGCTCCCCCCACCCCCCTGCTCCCATATGGAGTTTTGCTCTGTTGTCCAGGCTAGAGTGCCATGGTATTGGCTTAGCTCACAGCAACCTCAAACTCCTGGGCTCAAGTGATTCTCCTGCCTCAGCCTCCTGAGTAGCTGGGGGACTACAGGGTCATGCCACCACGCCTGGTTAATTTTTCTATTTTTAGTAGAGACCAGGTCTTGCTCTGGCTCAGGCTGGTCTCCAACTCCTGACCTCAAGTGATCCTCTTGCCTCGGCCTCCCAGAGTACTAGGATTACAGGCCTAAGCCACCGTGCCCAACCTTTTTTTAAAATTCTAATGTATGGTCTGTAGTTAACACTGTTTTGAGTGTTATAGATAAGTGGAGATGGAATATATTGGGTGGATTGATAATGTAAACAAGTCAACTGAGTTGGTTCAAAACTGTAGGAATTGGAGGGGGACAGTGATAATCTGAGAAATCCATGCCCCTCCAAAGGCAAGGAACTGATGCTTCTCAGGCAAGGAGTTGATACTCCAATAAATTGTCTATAATAGGATCCAGGATTGTCAGATCTTATGAGTATCCCAGAGAAGCTGGAAGTTCCTTTTTTATTTCCTAATTTTAAAAAACCCTTGTTAGGATCACACAAAATATGTCTTTAACGGGCCCAACGTCACACGCCTGTAGTCCCAGTTACTCGGTAAGGCTGAGGCAGGAGGATTGTTTGAGGCTGTAGTGCACTGTAATCAGGTGCCTGTGAAGAGCCACTGCATTCCAGCCTGGGTAACAACCCCATCTTAAAACATACATATATGATACAAAATTGTATGGATGGAGAACAGATCTGTAGTTGCTAGGAGTTGTAGGTAGGGAGAAGGTAGGTGAATATAAATGGATAACAAGAGAAAGTTTTGGAGGGTGATGGAACTGTTCTGTATCTTGATTATGGTGATGGTGGTTTGAAATTTATGCATGTATTAAAATTCATACAACTGTACACCAAAAAAAATTCAATTTTACTGCATGACCATTTAAAAGTAAAACTTATTTTAAAATCTTTTTAAAAACCTAATCCATTACCTTAAAAGTTAATCCCTATCAGTCAAAGTGTATGATATAAAATCCTTGACTTTAGCTCCCTTTTTGTCTTGACTAGAACAAGTTGTTAAATCTGGTGGATCTTACATAGCAATATGGACAAATGGAGCAAATTTGAACTTATTTTCAAATGTGGGGGCCCTAGTAATAAATGGAGAAATACTGGGGCTAGTAGATTCACAGGGAATTAAATATTAAAAACCAGAGGCCCACAACCCAGAAGGAAGATATTAAAACCTTTTTTCTTTTTAAATACAAAGCAAGGAAGAAATGATACTGTGTGCTTTCTTTGTCAAGTAAAGAACTGTGGAAGCACTTTTGTGTGGAAAGTCAATTTACAAAACACACTATAAACTTAAAAATTTTTTATTTTATTTGG